AATAAATAAATGCTGTACAAAAATATTTAATCACATAAAAATGAAAAAAGAAAACATAAAATTCAATACAGTTGAAATAAAAAATATAAAATAATTCACAAAAACAGAAAATTAAAAAAAGATGAAAACTGAAACCTCATGTTCTTGATATAACCATTCATTTCAGTAAAATAAAATGTCATGGTTATAATAAAATAAATGAACAAATAAATACATTTAAAAAAACAACAATGAAAATAAAATAAATTATTAAAATAAAAAGAGGTCAATACAAATCTTAATTTTTTGCACCTTATTATTATTATTATTAAACCTCTCTGGTCTAATCACTATCGTTGTTCTGTTTCGCGCACGCCACGAAACTACATTTCCCATCATGCAATTCAGCTTACCGTGGTCGCGCACTAGCTTAACGAACGCGCGCCGCCTCGTCTCGTCTCGTCTCGTGCAGCGCAGTTCGCTCGAGCGCTCTGAACAATGACTGCGCGAGAGGATGATGTGAATCTGGACAAATGAGTGATTTAACGTCAATACTGCACACCGCGCTGTTTTGTACGCTTTTTTCACAACAAACACCCTGAATATGTGGATTCCTACGGAACACGAGAAATACGGAGTCGGTAAGTTTGCTGTTTATTTTTTTGACGCGACTCTGTTACTATTGAATCAGCGTTGTAACGTTACCACACACCGCTATTGCTTTCACACAGTGCTTGCTTGTTTTGGTTTCTAACGCCAAACCTGCTTGGTTTGTTTATACATGTTTGGAAAAGAAACAAGTGTTTCGTGACTTTGTTTGAGTGACTGAGTGGATGTTGTTTGTTTTACATACGGTGTGTTATTGAGTGGAAATGTATATATTTGATCATATTCACTTACTGTATAGTGCATTTCCTCTACTGGGTTTCACCCTTTACTGCTATTTTTGTGACCTCAGTGCTGTTTTGCCAAGAGTGCAATGCAACTGTGAGAATCAGTGCTAGGAAGTCATATAGTCGCTGCAAAATAAATGAAGAGCGGAGAATGTGTTTTGTGGGCTGTGTTGTCATTCATCCTAGAGCATATGTGAAATGAATTATGTCTTATGTGTAGTATGCCAGCATGATCTGCGTTTCATGAACGTTTTATCTTGCATATTTGAGTTGAATTTGAAAGTAATGCATGCTCTTGGATTGGTGACTTTTGGTTAGATTAGGTCAAGTGAGGTTTTGCACCATTGTCAAATCGAGATTTATGTCATCTGGTTGATGATATAGTTATGCAGTGAACAGTTAAAATGGATGCATGTTTGTGTCTTCAATCTGTTGATGGATGATGATGCTGCTGGATGAGGGAATTCATCAGTGTGATAAATGTATTCAAAGCTCAGAGATTGTAACCAATGAGACCCAAATCTGTGGGCAAAAGAATGCTTGTTGGAGTGAAACTCTTCAGGGATCTTGTCTTCAGTTATGGGGATTTCTCTGAGGATTTTGTCATCTTGCCACATCTGTTACTTTAAAGTGGGACTCACACCCCAACAGGGATTTTGGGTTTTATATCCAGCGGCTTCGTATTTTTGCGTTTGATCTTTTTCCAGAAACAAAATCCATGTTTTAGTGTTTAATTGGAAGCTGGCGAGTGGTGCTCGTATGTAAAGTAGTGAAGAATGACTCTCAGCCACAGATGAAATATGAATGAGCCCCCACAGCCACTGCAATAAAACGCCAATTAGCCCTCAATTGGATTAATTACAGCTAATTAAATCAAGGCAAAGTCTGAAAATCCAATTCATGTAAGTCTCAATGGCCCTCCTTTAAAGTTTTTTTACCTGCTAACAGGAACTAAGAAGAGATGATCTGTTTTGCCCTAATGTTGTTTTTGACAACCGTGGCATTTGAGGAAACAGACGCAGACGCTGAATGGGTGGAAATACCCACATTTTTGTCAGAACCTTTTTTTTTTGTGCATTTCTTCCTTTGCTGTCTTCATTTCGTAAGACAAATGTGATTAACTGCGAGCCTTAATAGATCGAGGGTGGAATATGACTAACTTTTGAAACTAGTCAAGCAAGCTCCTCTGGATATTTTCTATGAATCAGTCTGCCTTGTTCTACCAATTTTTAGAAATGCTAAAAAAAACCTCTGCCCCCTCATTTGAGTTAAAAAAAACACCCCATTGCTGAAGCTGATAGTGTTTCCTGTCAGGCATGACGATGTACGTCGTATTCTACTAAAATCTTATTTAAACTTGGATTTATGTTTGAATCATAGCAACTGTGTTTTCATTGCAAGAATTGCAAGAACATGTCTGGATCATAAATCACCCCAAATTTAAAATAAGAAAGAAGGCTAAAAGTTTAAGAAATTTAACATTTTGCATCATGAAAATTCAGCATATTTTAAAAACCATTAGTAAATGGCTTAATATTTGGCCGTTAATTGCCGTTGGCCAGGAACAGGTACACATTTTCTGTCAGTCATGTTTGTTTGTTTGTTTGAGTAAATATTATATACAACAAGTGCACATTTAAATGCATAAATTCAGTGCCCATCTTATTTGCTGCAATTAAATTGCATTATATTTGTAAATGATAATAATGATAAATATCTACATTCCCCCTCTTTAAATTCTCATTACAGTAATGTCATAACTGTAAAGCAAAAACAAATATTGCAGTATTATTTAAATCTAAATAAATTAAATAATAAATTACGTTATGAATTATTTGTTATAAAAAGTCCAGGCAGCTTGATTTGTATTAGTGTGCTTCTTCCCCCCAATTTTGTGTGGAAATGTACTAAAAATGAGCTCATTTTTCTTTATGCAGTGTTTAGGGATGCACCGATACTGGTATCGGTATCGGGCCCGATACTGAGCTTCTGTACTCGTACTCGTTAAAATGCCCCAGGTGTCTGAATAAATTTTGGTTCGACTGTATCTATTTGATACATGAAGTTAACCAACTAACATTATACATACTCTTTTGGTTTCTGTACCCAATATTTAAAAAATTTACAAATGCAATAAAATATTGGTATCGGTACTCGGTATCGGCAATCGGTATCGGGCGAGTACTGGAAAAAGTGGTATCGGTGCATCCCTAGCAGTGTTTAATATCACTTGATTTTGGGTGTAATTAAATTGCATTATATATATTTATAAATAATAATAAATACCTACATTTCCCCTTCAAATTCTTACTACGGTTAAGCAGAAAAATTACTGTAAAGCGAAAGCAAATAATGCATTATTATTAAAATGTAAATAAAGTATCTATACATTATGTATTTTTATTTTTTTTTGCACAGATTTAATTTATGCTGCAAAATAATTTTTTCCCCATTAGAGTAATGAGAACTTTGGGTGGAAATGTCCCAAAAATTAGCTCAATTTTATTTATGCAGTGTTTATTAATTGACTTTGGGTGACATTTTTTTCAAATGCACCCAATAAAAAGCGAACACAGCCCATCATGAATGATTTGGAACAGAGCCACCAGAGGGGTGCCGTTTAAAGTGCTCTTGAATGCTCAGTGAGCCCAGAGGAGCTTTGAATGGGATGTTCTGGTGTGTGTTTTCATGAATGTGTGTGTGTGTTGGGCCCGGGGCTAGCTGTCGTGCTGCCCTTGTTTCCTATAGTATTCAATCCCCCTGGAACAGTGGAGCGGGCGAGGGGCGTTAACGCTGTGTGGAAGTGGCCACCCTGTGCGATGCCCTGTGGGATTAGCAGGTTGTTGTGGAAGTGCAGCGGGCCATTCCTTCATTATAGAAAATATTCTGTAACGACTGGAGCCGAGGGATCTGAGGGGGCGGGGCTTCTCAACACCTCAGCGCATGCAACTGCCTCTTCATTCACAGGCCACGCCCCCAAAAGAGCTGACACAGTGATTTAGATGGACCCACGGGGAGGCCAGATAATATCCAATTTCTGTCATGACTCAGGCTCCAGATGGGGGAATAACACAAATATATATTAACGTGCACTAGGGATATGCCGGTATCAAATTTTCATGTTGCGATTAATCACATGATTATCTACTGGAAAACTAACACTTTTACTCCAATTTGTGTTCTGGCATTTTTCATGTAGGTTTTTCTGAATATCAGGAGAGCAGAAAATCATAGATAGTGGTCTTTTTTTGATTTGGATCAGTAAGCAATGCCCTAAAAACCAATCAAAACTCCCTGACAATTAATTAGCTTCAACCAATCAGTGTATGTTGAGTAAAACACTTCAAAGCCTCTTATAAACTGGTCTGTTGTTTTAAGGGAACAATTGCAAATGAGGATATTAAGGATATTGCAATGCAGACATTCAAATATTTAATAAGAGTTATGTTTAAGAGTAAAGATTTGAGCCAAGATTCCATTTTCAGTTTGACTAATAAAAATGAGGAGCTGCATTTATTTTTTTTAAATGTACATTTATTTATTTTACAGTACATTTATTTATTTTAAATGTATTGTTTTGGCCAGTATTTGATGTTAATCAGTCTGTATTGTATATGTAATTTAGATTTTTGTCTATTTTAAGAATTAGATCATAATGTAATGCTAACTTGAAGGAATAGGAATAGATTACGGCAAAGATTTAACCCTTTAATCTTATGAGTGCTTTTCTTTTAAGAGTGCATTTAGGTCTTGAGTTGCTGTGTGTATGTAATTATTTTATATATTATACAAAGTACTATATATTTATGATTGCTTATTTGGCATAATCTAAAAACTATTTTTTGTCCAATTTCATCTTTTTTTGTTTTAACCTGTGCATCTCTACTATCCATAAATCGGATTGCATGCCTATCTATTTTTATTTCCGCCAAATTATATATGCCGTCTACCTGGCTGTATAAACCAGAAGCTATTGAGATGTCATCAAAACACCTTACACCGTCTTTTCACACCTCTTATGACTGCAGTTATGGACACTTACATGAAATAATCAGACAGGCAAATCGGAACAGTCTCTCTTGCAAAGACAAGATCCTTTCTGAAAACCACAATCCCCCACCCTTTGAAACCGAAGCCTGGTTCTTTGCGGAAATCCCGTTATTGATCCTAAACTAGGCACACTCCCCCCGACCTCATAATCCTTCTGACCTTTGACCTCCCGTTCAGGGTGCATGCAAACAGGGAGATTATTAATACACAATCGGTGACTGGAACGTGGATGTAATTAAGTGTGCTGCTGAATGCCTCATTAATGCAGGGGAAAGGCTTCTGTGTGAGGGAGAGATGGATGTAAAGAGAAGGACGTTCGTTATCTGTGCTCTTGGCAGGAAGGAGGGCTGCTGGTGTCTGGCTCAGACAGCGCTACAGATATGCCTTTCACAGACATCTGTTAAAGGACTTGTTCACCCAAAAATGAAAATACTGACATCATTTACTCACCCTCATCATTTACCACCCTTTTTTTTTAGTCAGTCGTTTCAGTTTTATTAAAAATAATGACTTCATTAGCTTATTTTTTATTTTTATTAATTATTTATTATATTTATGTTAATTATTTATTAATTATTTATAGAGATGTAACGATTCACTCAACTTTCGATTCGATTCACGATTTTGATTTCATGATTCGATTCGATTCGATTCACTTTTTTTTTTAGCAAAATAAGATTTAAGACAAATTAAAAATT